CCACAGAAATCGAGTACATTACTTATTTATACTACTGGTATACTGTTAGTTTCGGAAACCCACTTATACAATAAGAATAAGTAATCTAGTCGATTGATATTGCTTCATCGGTAAATCTACCACAGAATGTGATATGGAAAAAGGCATGGTCTTGCTTGATATTCAAATAGGCTCTGCGACCCAATAATGATTAACGTGTCGAGAGTATACGCTGCACCATCACGGTTCGAGTCCAGCTGAGGGCGCTAAAGAGACCTAGACGTGGTCAAAACTGCAGTCCTCCCCGAAGGAGAATACCCTTTGTGGAGCAAAGCAATGCGAAATTAAATAGAAGCCTAAGGCCTCCTCATCTGATTGTGGGAAAGTTCAACTACCAATCCTGCATAAAGTTAAACCAAATAAAGTGAACACATCTCATGCATCAGATACATCATTGACTTAGTCAGTTGTTACGATAAAATGTAAATTTAGTATGACTCGGCTTGCTTAGTTCTGTAAGAAAAAACAACATTCACTTCTGTTTCATTAATCAATTTCATCCATTTGTCAACATGTAGGACAGGCCTGAAGTAACCAACGAGGTCGTGGTAGGTCTCATTAACATGGCACAATTAGGTCTATGAATTGAGTAGTTTTGCTGGTGTCCACATTTTCTTTTGGTTTGGTAATTAGTGCAGTTTTTCGTAAAGTCTTCTCTTCACTCAAGGGCATTCATGCCAGACTGATAGAGTATCAAGACTAAAGTCTGCACTAGCAGAACTCAGGTTCGAGTCGAGTGGGGGCGCGGATGAGGCCCGTTTAGGCGGGTTCGAAACTGCGGTCGACTCCAGCCGAGATGAGAATTCCTTTTAGGAGGCAAGGCTATATGAACTTCAATGAAAACGTGAGTACTATTCGCATGGTTGTTGGAAAATTCATATTTCCTATTCAAGATCTGCTGATAGTTGTTGAAAACCCATTTTAAAATAAACATTTTTTAAAGTATAGAAGTTGTCTGACTTCATGTTGGCAACTTAATCGTGTTGTCAGTGCGACTTAGTCAGGCGCATCTTGTCCGAAGTCGCTTGCTTTAGTAGTTTTCATAATCTTCAACTTTGGAACGTGTTCTTGACACATTCCCCGACGTTTTGCCGGCATCGTCAGTGCGTCTGGCCATTCTCAACACC